AAAATTATGTGGTCTTTAGATCCAACGTTATTTTTTATCTTCCCATGACCGTTTCATCTGAAAAGATCGAAACTATATGTCCAAACAAATATTATTAGAGATTTTATATAGTTAGGTAATTTTTATAATTTAATTATACATAAAAGTTTTATGATAATTATGGTAATAGGTAGCGGCGGAGCTAAAAATTTTAATTTCATAATCTGGAGAAGCAAATCACTGAACGGGTTCGACATCTACTATATAAACACAAAAGATAATGTTAACTATGTACAAATAGTAATATTTTTCGTCGAATAGCCTAGCTCTATACTAGCTCCGCCGCTGATAGTAGGTAATTGATTAAAAACAATGATTAACCTGGTACAGTAGATTAAACAATATCAATAAAATAAATTTTGACTTTCAAATCATTATCAATTTTGTTTTGAGATTTGAAACTTATACGCAACACTTCTTGAAACCTTTTTTTTTTACATTTTATATGGAGATTAAAATTTGTTTTCTGATCCTATCGAAGAATAATTTTTAATTTGTCCATTATAAAATCTTGAGAAAAATTATCTTTGGTCGAATGTCCAAAGTGTTTTAAGTCCAAAATTAATAAGCAAAATAGGACAGATAATAGAAAGAGAAAAGAAAAAGTTGAAATGAAGGTTTGAAGATGATATACATTAGTAAGATACGCAAAATATTCAAAAGATAATTAGATAGATATTAAATAATTGTCATGGTAGGGCCTCGAATAGCCTGTGCTAGTAGTTATTTTTGGCCTGAAAAATTATAACAAGTGAAGGAGTTGGTTGAAAGAAAGTGTTAAGCACGACTTCTTCCACATGGATCTATTAATTGATTGCCACAAGAATGTATACACTCTCAAACTCACCAACCAAACAAGGCTTCACTATTCCAAATGTATGCACTAAGAGAAACCACCTAATTACACAAACATTTCTTTTATTTATTGTTTCTTTCTAGTTTTCAAAATAATAATTACATTTTATCTCACTAATTTTATATTAAATTTTAACTCAGATACATCTAGATACATGTCTTGTTGATACTAGAATGCACTGAATTCTGAAATAGGAAGAGAAGTGACTGAGAACAGAAGGGAGCGGGGCAAGATTTGTCATATACATGTGAATCACACTAGAGACATACATGTATCTGGAATAACAGATACACGAGCGAGATATGAGGGTGACGAACAAGATGGGAGGGAGTTGAGGGGCATATGTGTAATTCAGCGTTGAAAGTCAATTTACGACAAATGAAATTTGTTCAAGTGGTTTATTGGGCGAGGGACATATGTATTAAATCAACTTTGAAAGTCAATTTACGACAAGTAAAATTTGTTCAAGTGATTAATCGAACACTATATTAAGGTTTGAATTACACTAAAAAAATAAATGAAAACACGATTAACCTTCTTCGGAAAAAGAAAAAAAAATAATAGTTATTTCAACGAAGTGAGGATCATACCCCTACTAATATGACCATATCTCCATCATGAGATTTCAATATCGGGTCAAACGATGAATTTGAATGGATCAATATAATATCAGTATCACATGATTTTTTTAAAAAAAAATAACCATCAAATTTTAAATCAGCTTAAAAGATAAATTGTTCAAGATCATATAAAGAGAACATAAAAATATCGAAGTGGAATATCCAACTACCAACATAGTTTTGTCATAATTTTCGATGGGAATTAATCTTGTATACTTTACCATTTAGATTAGTGCGTATAAAAGGGATTTTCATAACCATTATTTGTCACTTTAATAAAGCACTCAAATAATTAAGAATCAAACTAGATACTTATATATATATTTATTTTAAATACAAGATGGAGGTCCCTTGCCGACATTAAATTAATGAGAATGCAAAAAAAATAAAAATAATTAAGGCCTCAATTATTACGTTAATGATACGGTAATTTACAATTAACAACATTTAGAGCTAATAAAATAAAATAAGAGTCTTTAATTTTTGGACGAAATGAGCTGGAGATATATTTATTGGCAAGTCAATTTATGAATAATTCCAATTAACTCATTCAAAAAAATTGGCTCAATTTGGACAGTCTATGTGGCTCAAAATTGACCTATAAAAAAACTTATTAAAGCAAAAGATAAAAAAAAAATTGAGTTTAATTATTAGTCAAATTTAAAACATGGTAAAATATAAGAAAAAGGGTTTGTTAGTCTCATTTTGTAATATTGAGATCGGATTTTCAGAGTTATCGAATTAATTAATGAAAAATGGGTAATGATTGAATTGTTAAAGAATAAATAGATAAATAAAAATGATTCTAAAGTTCTGTTTGGATTATGATTCAGTATTTCATAAAAATTAATCCACCTATCTTGAATGAACTAAAAAAATCAGGGGCAACTTTTACATATAACAAATAAAAAATTTATATTTGTATATTATAGCAAAGTTTGCATAATTGCACTCCATAGCAGATATAGAAACTGTATAATTCGCTATACATATACAGTTGAAGCAAATTGTATAAAACGAAGTGTATAAAATAAGAAAGAGAAAGACATTTGGGCTAGAAAACTGTATAAAACAAATTGTATTATTACAAGTGTATAGAACGATTATATACAATTTGAATTTGTATAAAATGAGAAAGAGAGAAAGACAAAAGAGACTTGAAAAGGAATATAAAATTGAACCGAATTGTATAAAACGAGAAAGAGAGAAATTAGATACAATTTGAAAATTGTATAAAACGAGAAAGAGAGAAAGACAAAAGAAAATTGTATAAAACGAAAAGATATGTACTTGCATATGTATATACAATTTTCTCACGCTTTATACAAACAAAAACGCAATTTATACATTTTGCTTCTGTTTGTATAAGTGAGAAATGCGAGGGTGGCGAGCGAGATTTGAGAGAGTGGCGAGCGAGATCTGAAAGAAGGGAGAGAGGGGAACAAAAATATATGTATTTATACAATTTTCTCAGTTTTATACAATTAGAAACAATTTTTATACATTTGTGTTTGTATAAAAGGTGAGAAAGCGAGCAAGAGAGTGGAGGAGAGTGGCGAACGAGATATTTGGGAGAAAGACGCCTGATAATTTTTTGCAAACGTCTGCTATGAAGCACAATTAAATCAAACCCTAACTACTCCATTTATTTTAGGTTATTAGTTTACTAATATATACAAAATTAAATAGACTATGACCAAACTTTTTAATCAATTTATCTCAACCATTTAAAATTTGGAAACATTATTTGCAATAAAACTTTTTAAGTTTATTCAGTTCGAAATAATTTTAGATACTTCAATTGAAGTTTAAGTACATATGATTAACGTTAGAAACACATGAATGATTTTTATCATTTTTGCTTGAACTTTTTGACACATATATGATAAATTATCGCAAATTTAAATTTAATCAAACTGTAATATCGATATCAAACGTAAAAATAAATAAATTGTGAGTTGGCAAAACCTATTCTCTATTTTTCCTATACAGGTAGATTGATTGTTGCTTCTTTGCTGGCCAATTAAATGGATCCTTTGTTCTCACTATCAAGACTAGCGATTATTTATTAAAAGCACATGACTCTACTAAATGTAACTCGATATATAAAGACTTAATTTTATAATTCTACACTATACCAATATTCTATATAAATGAATATATAATTAGAAAAACATTCGCGATGACGTGTCTTTGTAATTTATTTTAAGAAAAGGATTGTTAGTTGGTTTGAATTATTTAAAGTTGTGTATAATGGTGGAACCAGACTTTACAACTTATATTGGCTACAGCCTTTTAAAACTAACAACATTTATAACTTTAGCTCGTAATAATATGAGATTTGATTAATTTAAATTTAAGTCGTACAGGATATTAATATTCTTTAATAAATAATTTTTTTTTCTCAAATTCGATCTCTGTAAATGTGAAAAATTATTATTTCATTCCACCATAATTTAGTTTTTTATTTGTGTCTACTCAATTACTTTTTACAAAACGTTTTCTTACAATACAAATCTTTATTCTTAAAAGAACTCCTTCATTCTTATGAATTACAACACAAATCTTTATAAATTCTTTATAATTTTTTAAAACAAGAATTTTTTTATTTTTTTATTTTTTAGATTTGAACTTAAAACTTCAGTCATTTTTGACATTTCGAACCTTATAAGGGTAAAAGGATATGGTTGATTATATCACAATCATATTTTGGATCATTTAATATGCAATTTATCAGCCGACAAGGATTCGAATTGACCTTCCTACTGGGTCCTTGGTGTGACTAAACGTCTCGAATTTATGTTTTAAATATGAAGAAAATTTAATTGTATCGTGTAAGGTTTAAATTTAATTGGAATTCTGATATGAACATCGAATGAAAAATTAAAAGATATAATCCGATATGTTAAAAAAATGGTAATACTACATTGTTAGGAAAAATAATTGGTAATATTATATTGTTAGAAACTTCTGATAATTTATATAGGAAGAAAAATAATTTGATAAAATCAGATTAAGAAATAGAAAATGAAATAATTACGTACGATGTAAAATCATAGTCTTTTGTTTCACGGTAATGCAAAACTTCCCATTTATTTCGATAAATAAATATATATTGAATGACGAAATTAGATTATTTATTTGTTAAAAAGAAAAATATTGACTTTTTTTTGCAGCCAACATTTCGTCTGTTGAAAATTAACTTTTAAAAAAAGTTTTGTAAGTAGAAAATAATGGGATGCACAATATTTTTGGTTATAATAGAAGAGAAGATATTTTTGGTGTCAGTTTTAATATAACTTCACATCAGCTAGTAGCTATATTGAAATAAGGCAGTATCAGAATTTTCATTAAAAGGATTCAGAGTGTAAAGAATATCAACATACTCACTAGCTAAAGAAGGTTCGATATTTACTATATCTACACGTAGAAAAGAAATTTTTTCATTGGCTCCGCCCAAGATCACAACAATTCAAACAAACAGATAGTTAAAATAATCCATTCATCCAGACAACAAAGAAAATAAATTTGAATAACAAAGAAATATTCAAAGTTTTCATGGCCTCCCACAACAATCATCTATACATGAATATTTGCTTTCATGTACTATATATATATATATATATATATATAAACATCAAGATTGTGCTCATCATGAATACAATAGTAGTAAGAACTGAGTCTTACTTCACTATACAAATAGGTATATATGATCGAATATATTGAAACAAGATGATCAAAGTACGGAGGATAGCTAGATCTATGCTTGTTCACATTCTCAACATAACGCGATAGGCAATAATAGCTTACCTGAACTCAAGCAATGGCAGAGTAACTGTGATCATCTGCAGTTGGACCCTGAGAAAGAATGGTCAGAAACACAAAGACACCGTACAGAACGGTAGCAATGGCAGTAAAGTTAACTAGGAAGGCCTCGGAACCATATTTAGCCAAACCGTTGACTTCCAGGAATGTGAGCTTCTCAAGGAATCCTAAACACGCATTGCCAACAGCCACGACATATATAAACATCCCCAAAAGCACATGCCAAGGAAGTGAATCACGTCTGATTTCAGAACTACCTCCAGGGTAGAAGAACACCACAAATCCATAAATCCACTGCAAATGATATGTCAACGAGTAATGAGAAACAACTCGTGATCATCAAATTTTGTATTAAAACTGATAAAGACTGGTTAAGTTTCCCCTCTGAATACGCAAAGTCTTTTCGCAAGTTTTAGTATATTTTGATAACTTGTTCCCTATTTGGGTACATTAAGATTAATAAATGATTAAATAGGATAAACCAGGAGATCCAAGCAAGAAGAAATGAACATTGTGCTCGCCACGAAAGTGCCTTAGACGTGCGCTCTGACACAAAGTTTTGAAGGTTGACATCTAAGTACTGTGTTTCCTCGTCGTAAACATGAGCTACAGTATCATTTATTTGTGTATGATTTATCAAGAAACATAATTGAACAGGAATAATTATGAAAAGTCCGACCAAGATGTAACACCGAGACAAGTCCGAACTTCATCTCAAGACAACTTACAAGCGTCAAACTATTATTCCTTCACTCTTCAATTAGATAAAAGGAGTCATAACGGGGTATTTACCTGAATGCCATAAAGAGTAATAACTCCTATTCCAATCCAGGAATGTAAACTGTACATGTTGGGGATGTTGCTTTCATTGTGGTTCTTGAATGCGGTATAAATTCCAATTATACCAAGTATGAGCGCGATAGCATGTAAAACTAGATGTATTTTTTTCTTCACCTGCTTCTCCAGGGGGAAAGATTTGTAACTTATGATAGCTGTAAATTTGGATTGACAAGGCATTAATAATCAAATGCCATAATAAAGAAAAAAAAAGGAAATAAAGGGAAAGATGTCTATAAACATCTCGATTACCTTCTCCCCCGAGAATAATGAAGCCAATAAGCATAAGTACAGGGTGAATCTGGAAAACAACAGTCATTGAGAAAAGATGAAGATAATACATTCATGAAAATACCATAACCAGAAAAGACTCTCTGGAAGTGATAGTTGAGATTGTACCCGCTGAATCCGTAACATGAAAGTCTCATAATCTAATTTTCTTTTGTGGAAGTCATTCAAAAACATTATTGTTAAATCTCATCTAGCAGTATTGTGCAATAAAAATCATCACCACTATTGTAATAGGGACACTGGACAAATAATCTTAATTGTTTTGTATTTCAGCAGTCACAAGGTTCCCCCAAGAAGCATTGAGTGTGAAGTATGTCTTACACTAGAACAATAAACTCTCCGTCTTCCCTACAAAATTATATCAGAAACAACTTCTCTATTACCTACCAAGAGGTAAGAGCTAAGGTATGCGTACACTCTATCCTCCCCAGACTCGTGGGGATCACAATGAATACGGTGTTGTAACAAACTCTCTAATTTCCATAACAAATGATCACTACTTCTATCATGTTGGACCACTGAAAGCATCATGATGAATCAGACCTAAGTTGTGCGAACTCTTCATGACTTACGTTGCCACACCCATGTCGAATTCTTCAAAAATACACTACTTTTAAAGAATCTGACACGCACTCTAAACTACTTTGAAGAGCCCGAGCAACATAGAATCAGATCACTCATTGTGTTTCATATTTTAGAGTCAACTTCCTCCTTAACTATTATAAAGTATGAAAACAATACAGTGAAGTTGTAGGTAGGCAGGTAACCAAATGTTTGGTATAAACAACAAATAATCAAAATACACAAAAAAGAACACATCATAGCCATTCAGACTTTTCATAAATCAACAAAACATACAAACAACAAAAAAAAATAAAAAACTTCTTCTTGAATCTTGAACAGAGTTGATAAATTTGCAAAAAAAAACAAATCTTGATTACACCCCACAGAACAAAACAAATAAAAATTGCCAACAAAAACACAACAAGATGTAAAATTGCCACTATTCCAAGAAAAAAGAAGAACCCCACCAAATTTCAAGAAAATAGGAAAGAGGGGCTTACATTAAAGATGAGATTTTTGTTTTCAGCTTCCCAAGCTAAGCCACCTCTAAAGTGAATAGACCAAACTAAGACCATAATAGCAGCAATTAAGGCAATAAAATGTGCCCCAAATGAAAAAGGCAGTGCCTTTAGCCCAGTTGCCATCTTCTCTTTTGATGATAACAATACAGACCAAGGGATAAAATGTTATCTTAATTTTATCAACTGAATTTGGGCTATTTTGAGATGGAGACAAAGGGAGAGAAAAGTCTTTTGAAAATACTACTTATGTTGTGTGTGTGTTTTTAAAGACCAGGAAAAAATATTAATTATTTTATTGTTAATTTATGTTTCAAGATAAAACATTCTTTATTGAATATCTATTTTATTTATATATTTAACTTCTTGATGTGTTTCCGTTTTGTTCTATAATATTAAAGTAGACCAGAAAAAATAATATTTTTATTTACTCGTGTGTTTTTGAAGACTGTTTATTTTCTCATGAAAAATATATGATTATTTTAAGCTTGTACTCTATTTAATTGTTATTAAACTTCAAGAGATCAAAAAAATTCAGGATAGGATGTAAAAAGGAGATTTTTGAGGGTAATTTGATCTTTTATTTATAAATTTATGATATTAGCAACTATAGATTTTTGGGGGTAATTCGATCTTTTATTCAGAAATTTATGATATTAACAATTCTGATCTTAACACACAATAAAATGTATAACTTATATCAGCTTATAATACATATATTAAAAAAAGATATCAAACAAAATACTAGTAGACCCGGTAAATGATGACAAAACTATCTCCATTATATGTGGATCATTTACACATGGCAAATTTAGATTGGTTGAGACCGTTTCGTGTTGTTGCCTTCATATGATTTTTTTATTTAATCTTTTCTTTTATATAAAGAGAATTTTAAATTATTTCTATAAAGTTACACTTTTTTTAAAGTTATTTATCAAGAATATAAATTCGTAAAAATACTTCTTACTTTTTAGGAAAGAATAATTTTACATAATTAAGAAATTATTATGAAGTCATACATATTTTAAAGATACTTATCACGAATAAATTCGTAAAAATAGTTTTTTTAGTTTTTAGGAATGAATAATTTTGTTTAGGCGTGTGGCAAAACTTAAAAATAACACTCTCTACTTTATATTAATTAAATTTGTATGTCAATATTTATATATTAAGAAAAAAAGTATTGGGGGACATAATTTAAGTCATAATTTTCACTATTACATTTTATGAAATCATATATATAACTTTATGCAATTTATCTCTTAGAAAACATAAAATTTTAATAAAAAAAGAGCAAATATGGAGAAAAAAATATCTATCTTAAACTTTAAACAATTTAATTATTTTAAATAATAAAAAAATTTTAAAATATTAAATTAATATAAAATAAAATGAGTATTTATTTTGAAACGGAACGAATAATTATAAATGGCAATATAATAAATTTGGTATTCGATCCACATTCCAAGAGTAGGTGAAATATATGTAGAAGAAAGGAACACGTTGGTTGGTAGGTGGATGCTTGGGCGTATTGGTTGTTCTTTTTTCCTCCGCTTAACGTTTGAAGTTTATATTGAAACTTGGATATTGCGGTGCTTATTTATGGGTGATGTTTTCAGTAAAAAAAAAATTCATATCCAGTGTTCGATTTCAAGATATTAAGTTGAGAATAAAATCAGTGCACCACAACTTATGTTAATGTTACTCATATTCAATGGAGAACTAAATGTTTTGATAATATTTTGACTAAACTCCCGATACTTTTGAGTAATATGAAAAATTTAACCTAAAAAATAACGTTCCAACCATATTTGAAAAATTGATCTACAAAAAATATAATTTGAAAAATGTTGTAAATAATAAAATGTGAATGTCATGTAATAAATTCAAACTTCATGACTTTGGAGATTTTTCATGACTTCAAGGATTAAAAATATATTCCTACTTTCTGTATATACTCATCTTATATGTAGATACAAAACATTACTGTTCTTTCTCTAAATTTCTTTGTTATTTAATTCTAATACTTTATTTTATAACAAAAAAGTATAATCTAAAAACTTATGGATTTAAAAAGAAAAAGTGTATTTTTTTAGATACCAACTTAAGATTTTTTTTATTATTATTGTATCTCTCTTACTCTGTTCAAGCTTCCTTTTCAGCCCTCTCATCAAAATATTATAATTTAGAATACGTACAAGCTTATCGAAGCAAATTAAATCTTTTCCCCATTGCATCAATTGAAAGAGAAATAACGATTTATTCATCTGCATTCGAAAAAAATTCAGCAAAATCTTTATTTTAAAATGTTTGAAGTCCGAACATGAGATTTGAATATTAATTATAAATTATAATCTAAATATTTTTAATTTATTTCGTATTTCAAATATTCTAAAATAAAACCATCTTTATCAAGATAACCGCCTTCGTTACGAGTGATAGATGAAGTAGGAAATTGGAGGATGTAGTAGTTAAAAGTAAAGAATGATGCCATTATAAAGGTCCATTGACCAATCTTCTTCCATCAATCACGATCCCTTCATTTTGTTTTTATCAACTACCACGTCCTTCATATGGGCCATATTAATAAATAATAATTAATACTAATAAATAGAGAATTTGATATATCAAACGATAGAGTATATTGGATGAAATTATTATTTTTAATAAGAGATTTTAAAATTTAAATTATGAATATGAATTTTTTTTGATAGTGATCATTTTTTCTCAAAAAAGACCTTATATAATGTAAATATGATATAATTAAATTTTAATATAAATACCAAACGTACTAAAGAAAATAAAATTTCATGTGATACGATGAGTTTTCATGTGATACGATGAGTTCAGAATATTAAATGATGGCAAAGAACAGTTTAAGTATAGAAAATTAACATAAAATAACTCATATTAAGGGGCAAATACAAGTATCCTCTTGTTGAAACAATTGATAACTTGTAATAGGGCGTATAAAATCGAATCGAAAATTAAATTAAATTGTAAATTGATTCAAATAGAAAAAAATCAACTAATACTAAGAATGACAATAATATGGAATATTTACTTTTTAATTTTACATAGATATAGACAATTAAAATACATTATCTAATTTTACTTTCTTTTACTATTTAGTCATTTAACTTATACTTACTAAACTTATTTTAGCATGATATATTACTTTAAATTATGTTCAATTTTTTAGCATGATATAATACTTTAAATTATGATCAATTTCATTATGACGTATTAATTTGCAACACTTATTTTACGTGATTTTTTCATTTTTTTGTTGGATATTTTAGTGTCATTAAACATATCATATTTTTTGTTGTTTTCTTGAGAAATAACTTAGATAGTTGCATTTTGGTAGGACCAAAAAAATATTTGAAGTACAAGTATATTATATATTTGTATGAATACTTTATCGAAAAAACCCAAAAATTCGAAAACTCCGAAGAAACCCAAAAAAATTCAAAGTTGAAAAACCCGAATTTTATTGATTTGATTTGATTTAAAAATTTAAAAATCCAACACAAATAATATTATTTGATTTTTAAAAACTTCGAACCAACCCGATCACGTACACCCCTAGAGGAGAGGATGCATATACGAATTGGGCTTTGCATAACTTGGACTATTTCCACTTACACCTATTAAAAATCAAAATGAACACTGGCCCAGTCCTCTACACTTGATGGCCCAAGTGTATATTAAGGATGACTTTGTCTTTGGAGATATTTTCCTTTTTTTTTTAATAGACTTCTGAAATCACCTTAAACACCTAAAAAATGGAATTAATTAATTTTTACCCACTAACCATGATAATAATTTTATGGGAAACTTTAGCATATAACTTTTTTAAAATAGCTTAATTATGCTTTACTAACTGTAGTATGCTAATTACGATTCATAGCTATATGTTATAGGAAGGAGAGTGACGAGTAAAATTAGGAGAGAAAGGAGAGAGGCGATCAGAGAGGGTGGAGAGTGGGAGAGAGGCGGATTATACATGTATATCAGTTAGATAATTGTATATATGTAAATGATATACATATATATTTGTATTATTCACAAATACATTTGTATAACTCAAAGGTTTTTGTATAATTGAGTAATACAAAGTTTATAATCATACAAATAGGATAAAAGTCGAAATTACGAATTAATACAATTATATTATGCAAATTACATTATATAAATTTATTATTAAAAATGTGAAAACTACATGTTTATATAAACTTTAAATAGTTATCAAAAAAAGATTGAATGTATGGTGATAAAACGGAAGAATCAAAGGAAATCATCGTCATATGCAAATCAAAACCATTGTATACAAATACAAATCAACCAAAGAATTATTAGTTACGAATTATACAAGTTCAAAGTTAACCCACGTAATTAATAGTTAATGTTAGTTATGAGCGACAACTATAACAAACTATAGTTATGATGAGTTTGATGACTAATCATGTACTATAAATTTTCTTAGCTGGGTAATTCTCCCTATTTTTTTTAGTATCATTCTCAGAATTATATAATAGGAGTATATAATTGTATTTACCCAACTGATAAAATCTTTTAGGGAACAGTTTAAAAATATATAGCCTCACATAACACATTGCACTTGAGTAGTCATATTTTCAATTTACATTCGTATAGTCGAAATATTTATCGTAACAATGATTATACATATTTATATCATATTATACAATACTTATTTGCTTATACAAGCAATGTATCTCTATTTTGTATAATACTATATAAAAGTATATTAATTTTGCATAAATGTGTATGAAAAATTATAGGGAAAATTGTATATAATAGGAAACTAATAACCTAAAATAAATGGAGTAGCTAGGGTTTGATTTAATTGTGCTCCATTGCAAACGTTTGCAAAAATTTGTCAGGCGCCTCTCTCCAAAATATCTCGCTCGCCACTCTCCTCCAATCTCTCGCTCGCTTCCTCACTTTTTTACAAACACAAGTGTATAAAAATTGTTTCTAATTGTATAAAGCAGAGAAAATTGTATAAATACATATATTTTTGTTCCCCTCTCTCCCCCTTCCAGATCTCACTCGTGACTCTTCCAGATCTCGCTCGCCACCCTCGCCTTTCTCACTTATACAAACAGAAGCGAGATGTATAAATTGCGTTTCTGTTTGTATAAAGTGTGAGAAAATTGTATATACACATGCAAGTACATATATTTTCGTCCTATACACTTATAATATACAATAA